CGTTACGTTCACGAATATCGTAATATCTTTCGTTATATTACAATTTACTTTTTTGTTAGGCTTACTGCCTTTGTAGCAAAAGCTTTCAAACAGGCTAAGGAATACATTCCAATTGAAGATAGAATAATAGATGAAGCTCTTCAGTGGTTATCGAATAACCAAGCTCCAAATGGAAGCTTTCCTGAAGTAGGAAAAGTCAGTCATCGCGACATGCAAGGTGGAGCTGCAAAAGGTCTTGCATTGACAGCATTTACTCTTATTGCTTTTCTCGAGAATGCTGTGAGTTCATATAATAATTACTTCGGATTATGAAACTATGAAACTCGGTGCGAGTTCTATTCCAATGCATCAAGAACGACGTCAAGATGTTATATGTTTGTTTACAGAACTCTGATGGTAAATACAGAAATACAATAAATAAAGGAATCGATTACATTATCCGCAACATGAATGACCTGGATGATACATATGCTTTGAGTATATGTACGTATGCCTTAAATTTGGCAAAGCATCCATACGAGGAAGCCGCATTTAACTTGTTAGAATCTAAAGCCATGACAAAAGAAGATCTTAAATGGTGGAGTAAACCCGTTTTGAAAGATGACAAAAATCCATGGTATTCTCTACCGCGACCCGTTGATGTCGAAATGACGTCCTACACGTTGTTAACTTATATCGTACGTAATAATCCTATCAGTGATTCTATAGCTATAATGAAGTGGCTCGTGAAACAACGAAATGCTGAAGGTGGTTTTGCGTCTACGCAAGTAAGTATAACAAAAATATGTAAAGTGACGCTAATATGATCCGTGAATAATGCGTTGATCGAATTTCCAGGACACCGTAATTGGAATACAAGCCTTAGCGAAATTGGGTGAGAAACTAGCAACGAAAAATAATTCTGTATCAATAACATTCAAGTACGAAGGTGGTGGACAGAGTCACATGAATATCAATCCTGATAATTCTATGATACTTCAGAAACAAGTGGTGAGCTCAAATTAGACGCATCACGCTTAACAAATGTTTCTATTATTTTTATATCCTTAGCTGCCCAGAAAAGCACGGTTAGTTAATATAACAGCCACTGGAAATGGATTCGCGTTGGTTCAAATTTCATTCCAATACAATTTGAACGTGACTGGAGCGTGGCCACTCTTTACCTTGGACCCTCAAGTTGATAAAAACTCTAATGCCAATCACTTGCAACTTTCTATTTGCTCTAGGTATGTTATAGTTTGTACAGGGGGTCCCAGAATTAGTGTAAGAAGCGGAAATGGGGAGTGGTTTCGTAAATAATTCAAAAACGAAGCACCATCCGACATTTTTGCAAAGGAAGTTGTGATTCAGAATCGTCTCAGCTACCCCCCATTTCTGCTTCTTACACTACTTCTGGGACACCCTGTATAGTCTTCTGTGGTCTTATATCAAGCGAGGCTTGACAGCAATGTATTGAAATTAGAAAGTCTGGACTGCAGAGGATTAAAGTTTCGTAAATATTACGTGTGATTATAACATATACTTGATAACACATTTCTTAAATAGATTCGTCCAAACTAAAGAAGCAAATGAAAGTAATATGGTTGTGATGGAAGCTACTTTGCCATCTGGTTTTACTGTGGACAGAGATTCACTACCGAGTCTTGAGGTATCGCAAAACGTGAAACGTGTAGAAACCAAGAATGGAGATACAGTAGTGATATTATACTTCGACAAGGTATGTAAATAGACATAGTCTCTGCACACATACACAGAGTATCTCTCAAGTATAAACATCACACGTGTATCATCTTTTGAAATACACTGTATATGTTGTTTCCAACAATCAAAAAGTAGACGGTAAACATTATATTACAGATGGATAGGCAAGAATATTGTCCTACAGTATCTGCATTCAGAACACACAAAGTGGCAAAACAGAAACCAGTACCAGTCTCCATATACGACTATTATGATTCGTGTAAGTTATTCAAACGTTAAAGAAAACCTTTAATTCGGAACGTTTATAATAATTTTATGTACCACTACCAATTATTCAATTTTCTTTAATTTACGTCTTTAATATATGATTACATCTTTTCGTGTCTCTAGCAAGAAGAGCAAGAGTATTTTATGAACCTCGGAAGGCTACGCTTTGTGATATATGCGAAAATGAGGACTGTGAAGATTTATGTGTTTCACAACCAAGTAACCAACAACAGTCTCCGCAGTCTATTGCTTCAAACATGCCTACTTGCCTTTATCTACACTTTTTACTTACACTCTTCTGCATTAAGTATTTCGAGTACTTGTAATTATAGCTTTCTAGAAATTATGTATAGCTTCATTAAAAAGTACAATAATAGTTTTGTATAAACTTGCAACCAAAGTACAGCATATGCAAGAATTATTATTTAACACTTAAGTAAAACTAATTCGAAATATTTCAAATCAATGATTGGCATTTTTTAATTTCGCATTAAGTAACGTATAAGTACACTCGAAAATGTTGTGTATTAAGAAATCAAGTATAAATTAATTTTTGTTGTATATTGATATTTTTAATGTTTCAGTAAATATACCTTATTGTTATTTATGATACGTTAACTGTTATTTGTTCGTTTATTTCCCTTAGGATCATAGATCAAATAAATGATGTATATTTTGTTACTTTCATTCGATTCACGAGGAATACTCGATCCCAAGAAGTATAATTTACGAGACCCTTTATTCATAAAGGACCAAAAGGTTACACAAAAGTTATTCGAAAAGCGAAAGTCAAATGAGACTTTTTTTGATATAGAAATAATACAGGATGTTCGATAATTGGTGATACTATATGAAATTCTCTATATGATTTTCTCGAAAACAAAGCCTCACATGAAGAATTTTTATTCTATATTTTCGACTTTTAGAAGCTTCTAAAAATTCTGTCATTTTAACCGACTTCGAAAAGGAGAAGGTTACTCAATTCGACATGTATATATATATACTTTTTTTTTTTAAATGTCTGTTCACCGATTACGCCGCGATGGCTTGACCAATCGGAATGAATCGTGTTGCATCCTGTAGAGCATGTTTCCCCGGTGATCCTGCTGTTAAGACTTTTTGCGATTTGTCATTTTTTACCCGTTTTTTTACCAAAAAACCGTGATTTTTAGGTATGCTTGCCGATTACGTCGAGATGGCTCGATGAATCGGAGTGAAACCACTTGCATCTTGTCGAATATTTCTCCAGGTGGTCGCGTAAAAGAAACATTTTATGATTTGTCATACTTTATCCGTTTTTTTTTAAACAGGAACATTTTGTAATCTGCATTATCGACCGAGCAGTATACATTACCGACAGAACAATCTACATTATCGGCCGAGCACTCTACATTACCGACAGAGCAATCTGCATTACCGACCGAGCACTCTGCATTATCGACCGAGCAATCTACATTACCGACATAGCACTCTGCATTACCGACCGAGCAATCTACATTACCGACATAGCACTCTGCATTACCGACCGAGCACTCGACATTATCGACCGGGCAATCTGCATTACCGACAGAGCACTCTGCATTACCGGCAGAGCACTCTACATTACCGACCGAGCACTCTGCATTATCGGCCGAGCAATCTACATTACCGACCGAGAAATCTACATTACCGACAGAGCACTCTACATTACCGGCAGAGCACTTTACATTATCGACAGAGTAAGCTAATCTA